AGGCCGGTGCTGCAGCTGGAAACCACATGGTGCAGGAGCAGTGGGTGGGGGCATGGAGGGGAGCAGTGGCAGGGGCGGGCAAATGGTTGCAGCAGGCGGGGGGCACATGGGTGCCCCTGCTGGTTCTGGTCCCGGTGCACCAGGACAGGCCCATGCTGCCACCCAGCTGTCGCTGTGCTCCCTGTACCCACTTGCTGCCCCTTGGCCCCCACCTGCTGCAGTCATTTCCCTGCTTCCCTGCTTGTGGTTGCCGCTGCTCTTCTCCACACCCCCACCTGCTACTCTGGTACCATGTGACTCCCAGCTGCAGTGCTGGGACTGATGCAGCTGGCCTGGCCTGCCCCAACCCTGGGGACTGGGGTGATTGCCCGTGGTCTTCCCCTGCCTCCTCTCCCACTTCTTATCTGAGTTTCCCTCTTCAGTAGAGGGAGGTAAGAACAGTCCCAGGATCCCAGGCCAGAAGGCTCTGCTAGGCAGAGGCTTGCAGCTGGGGGTGGGGGAGCTGGGGCGGGCGCCAGGGCCAGGAGCACCTTGCCACCGCAGCTGCTGGGTCCTGCCGCTGATTCCCCCTAGGTCCTACTGCCACTGCCTCCTGCCATCTTTGACAGGCAGCCAGGGGAGATAAATATTAATTTTCTAACTTTTTTAGGGGCCCTGTGGGCCAGACAGAATGGCTTAGTGGTCCATATTTTGCCCACCTGTGGTATAAGAGTATTGCATGTGCATCCAGGGAGAAAACCGGGGGGGGCAAAGCACAATTTGAGATGTAACTGGCAAGGTCCATAAAAGGCAATAAAGAGGGATTTTACAAGTATGTGTCAGGAGTAAGAGGAAGACTGGAGAAACCATAGGTCTTTTACAGAATTCAGAGGGCAAACTTGTTATGGATAATACCAAGGCGGCTGGAATATTTAATGCCTTTTTTATTCAAGTCTTCACTAGCTTCACATCAGTAGCTACTAAATGACAAGTATAGTTGTAAGCAAATATTGGGATGGAGAAAAACAGCTTAGACAAGTAGAAGAACAGGCTAGGGATTAGAAAAGCTAGATGCTTTCAAAGTGGCCGGATGAGATGTACCCTAGGTTACTGAAGGAATTGGCTGAGATAATTTGAGAGCCATTAGCTAGCTATTTTGAGAAGTTGTGGAAGTTGGGTGAGGTCCCAGATTAGTGGCAAAGAGCAGATATTGTGCCCATATATAAGAAAGGGAAGAAGAAGAATCCAGGGAATTCTAGGCCAGTCAGCATGACCTCAGTACCTAGAAAACAACCACACCAAACAATCCATAACCTACAGAGGAGAGGTTACCAGCACTTCACTCTGAAATGAATCTTTACCACTCACTTTCCTATTCTTCAGGTCCCTTTAACTTATTCACAGACCTCTATGAGACTTTCTGGTTGTTTCACCTGTCTCCTGGATCTCCGGAGTATCAACTCCTCAGCAGAGGTTTGGGGGCTCTCTGTTGCATCATTAGTATCTTCACCTTCTGAAGATGATGATGAAGAGGAGGAACTAGGAACCGTTAACTGAGGCTGATCCAAGTCCATATCTCCTGCTGATGTCTGAGAGCTAAGTGGAAGCATGAGTAGGTCTCATCGATTAAGTCAAAGCATGCCCCCTTGGTCTGTCTGAACTAGATAGGACCATGGATGCACTAGCTGTTTCACCATATCATGCTGGTTCCATGTTCTCAACAAGTAATTCCTCAGACAAACTCTATCACCTGTCTTTAGTAGTGAAAGCTCACAAGCTCTTGTATCAAAGTGGTATTCCTATTTCTTCTTCTGATCTTCTTTCATTCTCATTATGGCTACCATATTAGGACTTTCCAATAAAGTGTTAGTAATGGGCAGATTTGACTGTATCCACTGGCTCATTAACAACTGTGCTGGAGACTAGCCATTGTCCAAAGGTGTGCTACGATAAGCCAGTAGAGCTTTATATAAATCCCCTCTACTATCCTATGCTTTTTCCATTAGGTTTTTCACTGTCTGAAGGGATCGCTCTGCAAGACCATTTGATTGGGGATAATTGGGACGATGTGGTGTGACGAAAATCCCAATCCATGGCAAATTGCCTTAACTCTGCACTGGAGAACTGTGGCCCCTTATAACTGAATACTTCATCTGGAATTCCATGCCTTGCAAATATGGCCTTCAAGCAAGCTATCATTAAGTGGCTGCTGGTACATTGCAGTGTACAGATTTCCGGATACAAAAAGTAATAATCGGTAACTATTAAATACACCCTGGAGTTCCACATAAAGAGATCGGTGCCCACCTTCCCATAGGACCTGTGTGGAACAGGGTGAGACTTTAGTGGTTCTGCCTGCTGGTAGGGTCTGAATTTCAAGCAAGTGGAACAGTTTTCAACTGTATTAGTAATGTCCTGATTGATCCTTGGTCAAAACATCGCGTCTCTTGCTCGCTTCTTGCATTTCTCAATACCTAAGTGTCTCTAATGGATCTTCTGTAGCATTCCACTTTGGAGGGTCCATGGTATTGTGACTTTACTGCCCTTGAAAATAACTCCTTCAGTAACTGAAAGTTCATGCTGGCAATTCCAGTAGTCCCGCATGCGCAATTCACAGGTACTCCTGTCCTCTGGCCAACCCAAAATTATCATTTCCTTCAGGATCCCTAATGAGTGTTCCTTCTCAGTCTCTTCTTTTATTTATTGTAGCCTCCTGTCCACGATCAGAAGTGAACTAACAATCAAGTTGACATAGGCTTGCATCTCTGTCTTGGAGGTCTTTTCTGCTTGGCCAGTAGAGGCTATTCCCCTGGACAGCACATCTGCTGTAAACAGAAACTTTCCAGGTGTGTAGTTAGTTCACTTCTGCAGCTTAATCATCATTCTTTGAATCCTTAAGGTGCAGTCATTCAGAGGCTCGTGAAACAGTGCTATCAAGGGCTTGTGGTTTGTTTCTACATTCACTTTCTGTCCATAAATATATTGATTGAATCTCTGGCATGCAAACAAAATTCCTAACAGCTCTTTCTCAATTTGTGCAAACCTGCTTTCTGCCTCAGTTAGTGATTTGGATGCATCAGGTTGCCATCGGTTGTAAGAATTCTGCAGTAGCACAGCACCTAATCCTAACTGCGAAGAATTTGTTGATATCTGTATTGGTTTACCAAGGGTATACAATTTTAATACAGATTTTTGTATTAATTGTTTCTTCAATGCCTTCCATGCTTCTTCCTGTTTTGAATTCCACCACCATTCATTTTTACTCTCCAGAAGCATCCTTAGAGATGCTGCTGTTGTAGACAGGTTTGGTATGAACAATCCAAGATAATTTACCATTCCCACAAAGCGTTGCAAGACTTATTTTTGACGGGGCGTGGCATTA